GCTACTGACTGAGACGCCATTAAATCCCAAAGGAAACAGGTAATCCACGGTTGATAGAGCACTTAGAGCACTTGCCCTTATTGCTTGATGGTGAGCAGATATGATGTAATAATTTTCACTTAGGCTTCTTCTTCTTCTTCTTGAAACTATCAGGTAGAGTTGAGCCTTCGGCTCTTGGAACTCTAAGCAAGCAAAAGTGAACAAGAGCTCTCTGTACACTGTTCTGTCTGGCGGGGTGTCAGACTCGCGACCAGAGATCGCGTGCACCGGGACCCCTGCCATTTTCCTTTTCTATACCAGGCTAACCGTGCAGGACACGCCATTTATGTAACGGCTTCTTGAGGAACAGCGCCTGGATTGTGACAAGGTTGTGGGAGCTTTTTTACAACTCCGCACAGTGCAATGAGGATGCTCTCGCACCCCCTTAGGCACCCCCACGGGAGTCTTGTTTTGCTACCCTTTAGCCTAATCGTTTCCTCCTACAATTGTTTCCACCCGGGCGCCTCTATGAGGCAGGGTAGCATGCCCGGGCACTTAGGCTTAATGGGCAGTTGGTCGAATGGTTTGATTCATAGATATGATTATAAACAATTATAAACAGTTATGCGAAAATTCATGAGGTGAAGTGGTTTGAAAACGTTGAAATCCTATAGTTGTCACTTATGAAACAGTATCCACGCCACAACAAAAAAGGTCCCAATTTTGATGTGTGTGTGTGGGGGGGGGGGCGGGGACATGTAGACTGTATGCCAGAAAGTCGGCTTCCCAAACGACGTTTTAGAATAAGGAGCTGTGTGCATCAAAGCGCTCTTAGGGGGTCAACACAAGCGTTACAAATACACCCTTAAGAGCTCCCTCAAGAAGATAAGAGATAGGCATTCACGGCTGGGAAAAACTGGCTCTCGATCGCTTCTCGTGGCGTAAACCCGTCAGTGTCGATTTGAGGCAAAGAAAACGGCCAGCATGAAAGAACGCAGAGCTAACAAAACGGCTAAGAAAAGAAGCCGGCTGTAGACCTAACTAACTTATCTCTTATGCCATGTATGTTGCCCGCTTTTTAAAGCGAGGATTGTACTTGTTAGCTATCTTCGAGTTGATAGGAAATGAGAGATGCACTCATCTTCGACCACGAAGACGACATTGTTTTAAATAAAAAGTATTTACTTCCCCTTTTCACTTCCCAGCTTACATCTCCTGGCTACCCCTGTTATCTCCCTTCGTCCTCTCTAGACTAGCAGGCTACACAAGATAGTGCGCACCACCTTCACCATGTGTGTACAGGGAAAAGTGAAAACAACATTATTAGCGTAATGAATGAATGATCGAAGTGACGATCGACTTATATGTGTCTACTGCAATCTTAAGCTGTCAACTGATCAACTCTACAAGTGTCAGGTACTTCTTGGAGATGTTCATACACATGGCTCATCCATAAATAGCAAGTTTTTTTTTTATGTATCTGGAATACAGAATAAAAAGGAACTGTTGAAAATTTTGTTTTATTTATATGATAATTTTTATGCAATTTTTAGCAATGCACAAACATATTTTTAACACTTTTTTTTTTAGTAATATAAGTATATACTTTTGTGCCTTTTTAGCAATGCAAATTTTTGAAGTTCTTTTGTTTGTAACTTTTTTTTAGTTGGAAACATGAAAGTAAAATCTAGCGTCCTTGACCTTGTTTAGTAAATCTTGGAAATCTCCAAAAGCTCTCATCATGCGTAAACTAAATGACTATTCTATAACGACTAGAATACCGTATTTTCGCGTACTTACTCCGCTTATGGTACGCATAAAACTCGCACCTGCTCACACGTGTATACCCCGCGCAAATTACAAAATAAGTCAAAACAATTTCGTACAACCCGAACTCTTATATATCTTATATATATAAGCATGTGTTTCGATGGCTTCAATAACTATAGCGAGGAGAGTGAGATTAGTGAGAATGACAATTGATCGTGGATATATTGCATGCATTGTAGTCCACATTGCCGATGTCGTCAAAGTGGTTAATTTGCTTACTTGCTTGTCACAATTGATTACTGGTATATCAGTATGTTTTAAGATTCTCTGCCGCATCGGTACTCTTTGTTTTCTTGAGGGTTATAATGAGATGTTCATAAAACTTTTCAATGTACATTTCCCAACCACACAGCGAATTATAGGAGGTATGAAGAACCACCGGTATGCCCATAGTTTCATTTATGTTTTGTTCATGAATAAAATAAAGTTGGTAAACCCCGCCACTTTCTATACGCCGCACAGCTGCCACCCGTACGGGAAAACATGTATAATCCGCGGGTTATATATATATACGCGAACATACGGAAATGCTTTGCACAATTCCCATCTAAATTTAGATAACAATAAACTGTCTAACTAACACGCCACTTTTTGCGTTGTACTAGTCTAAAGTCATCCTTCAAGGTACAGTGGAGGGAACACGAAGAAAAGGTCTTCCGAAGAAAAGCTAGTTGGACAATGTAAAAGAATGGTCCGGCCTGTCAGTTGATATCCAACTAAGAACAGCTGACCGGCAATAAATGGAGGGATTTAGTTATGCAAACTGTCGCGAACTGTCACAGCACTCCTACGACGAAAGTTAAGGGACAGACGATGTTGACAGCTATGTGCCATGTATTGAAATGTTTGCTCATTTTTCTTTTCTTTATATTTTGAACAGAGAAAAAATGACACAAATAATGTTCGAAACATTCTCCACACCAGCTCTGTATGTAGCCAATCAGGCCGTGTTGTCAATCTTCTCTTCGGGGACAGACACTGGTATTATTTACTTATCAATGATACATAAAATAGATTTATTTAGTTTTAACTCATTGCTGAAATTATAATTAAATTCCACAATTTCAAAAGACATTTAGCTCTAGAGTTAAACTTTTTCTCTAAATGTAGGTACTGTCTTTGATTCTGGAGATGGTGTCACCCACACAGTACCTATATATGAAGGCTATGCTCTGCCCCATGCAATCTCCAGACTGGATCTCGCTGGACGAGATCTCACAGAATACATGATGAGCATTCTGAATAAACGTGACGGTTCTTATACCTTCACCTCCACCGCTGAGAGGGAGATCGTGAGTGACCTCAAAGAGAAACTCTCGTATGTTGCCCTGGACTTTGAAATGGAGATGAATACGGCATCTACTTCGTCGTCTTTGGAAAAGAGCTATGAGCTTCCAGATGGACAGACAATCTCTATCACTATTGGAAACGAGAGGTTCCGGTGTCCAGAAGCACTCTATCAGCCCAGCTTCCTTGGTATGGAGACTCCGGGCATTCACGAAATGACCTATAATTCCATCAACAAATGTGATGAAGACATCCAAAAGGATCTGTACAAGAAAATAGTTATGTCAGGGGGAAGCACTATGTTCCCTGGAATGGCCGACAGAATGCAGAAAGAGCTAACAAGCTTAGCGCCAAGTTCAATGAAAATCAAAGTGATTGCTCCCCCTGAGAGGAAGTACTCTGTCTGGAATGGTGGCTCCATCTTAGCCTCCCTTTCAACTTTCCAGCAGATGTGGATTTCAAAACAAGAGTATGATGAGTCAGGTCCGTTAATAGTACACAGAAAATGTTTTTAACTCCTGATTTTATTATAATTTTAAAAAATAAAAGAAAATAAATATCTTGACATGATATCTTGTTATGGTTTTTGCTTGATGGTGTTACGATGAGATCGTGCTGATCAGATAATGCGTTTCTAATGTTCCAATTGTGTATAGTTCTCTCTTAAAACCAATTTCAGAACACTAAAACAATATCGTGATGCTGAAAATACTACTTTAAAGTATTAACTCAAAAAAAGGATTTTTTTCCCAACTAAATGCAAAACATTTATTCTAGAACTATGATAATATAATTATAATAATAAGGCTTGTCTTCGAGTCCGAAGATTAATGAGGAACTACGCAGCCCCAGCTGTGACCTACATATACACACTTCATAAATGTACAAACAATTTAATTTAAATACATTTTACTACAGTCGCTGAGGTCTCCCGACATGCATCTCTTTAAATACTCTCCAATTTACCTCCTTGACCTTTTCTTGAACCTCCCATTGATATTCTTAATGCTTATTGAAATTCCGTTATCGTTTCAAATAAACTTCTAGTTACTTGTCAACAACATACAGCCATCACCTTGCGAAACAAATATTCTGTTCAATCTTAAAATAAACCAGTGAAAGAAAAAGCAACTTATTGCTCGGAAGTGACATTGAACACTTCAGTGAAATATCTCTATATGTCTTATATCAATATACTTTCCCTATATTTTTCTATAAAGTTGTTCACAATTAAATCTTTTTTCGCACCTCTCTTTTTTTGAGTGTTCAATGTAAAACTCTGCAGCAAGTAACATACCATCTTAGGGGCTTTGACAGCAAGTAACATACCATCTTAGGGGCTGTGACAGCAAGTAACATACCCTCTTAGGGGCTGTGGCAGAACTAAAAAGTGGCAAACAGAAAGACTCAGCTACAAGTGTGCCCAGTTTATAGACCTTGCAGTCTCAAGCCTTAGCGTTCATATGCATTCACTCAGATACACAGTGCCACTCCCCCCACCCCCAGATGACAGGAGTTTTAGTTTCCCCTTTCAGCCCTTGCCATCTATGGGGCAGCTGATGTTAAGGCCATCTGTTTCTCTGGCCAACGATTAACGAGCTAGGTGCCATGGGGCCAGCACAACGACCAACCCTCTTTACTATCCCCAACTAAAGTCAGGTCCCATAAGGGTTGGGTGGACTCAGGGGGTGCCCTGAAAATCCGGAAATTCAAAATCCCAGTTTTCCCCAAGATTCGAACCCAGGACCCCAGATTTGGAAGCCAAGCGCTTAACCACTCAGCCACAGCACCCCATAGATGACAGAAGTGATTCTTATTAGTTATAAAGAACAAACTAGACCAATATCATTCTAATGTTGTCCAAAACCACAAAAAACATTTAATAATAAAAAAAATACTTCCAAGCCAAGAACTGTAAAACTTTTTATTTACAATGATTACATTGCTTACTACTGTAACACTAGATCAACTGTATTTTAGTCAAATTAGTCAAATAAAAAATTTAACAAAAGACAGACACAAAAAAAAGGAGACAGACACAAAATACAAACTTATTCAGAATCATTATCTATTTAAGAAAATATAAAAATGCTGGATAGATATTTATAGAGTTATACCCTGATTATGAAAATAAAAATTCTCAAGAAAATTTTGGAAAGAAAGAAATAGTGTGCAAATGCAAACAACAAAAAAAGACCCTATCTAATGTGAATGGCAAAATAAAATATTTAAGAAGACTAAAGTAGTTACTTTATTATGTATAAATATTTTTTTGTGTACCATATATGAAGTTGTAAACAAATATATTGATTGTACAATTATTAAACTCACAAGGGGACATAACAAAATCACATACACTGCTGTTTCAACTCGGGCACTACCTGTTTGGGCATTTTTGCATGTGGAAAACAGAAAAGTTTTTTTCTTACAAGTCTTGGCAAGTTCTTCTTGTTTACATCCTTGTGATGAACCAAGACAATAATGCCATAGTAAGCCTGAACACTGACCTAATGATCTCCACAGACCACTGGATGACACATCACAGGTCAGTTTTCAGGCTTATTATCACCACTGGTCGCGGTTGAACACATATTAAAGACACATTTCAGTATCACCTTAACAAGAATAAAATGTGTATTACTTAATGGAGAAATAAAAACAACAGGTTTATAATTAATACAAAAGTTATTTCATCCATAATTAATCAATTCTAGTTCTAACTTATAAAAAGAAAGACAGGAGTTATTATTTATGTTAAAATTGTGCAGTTTCATGCATTGTATCTTGTTGGTAAAAGTAGATTTAAAATACTTATTATTAAATCAAAAACATTAAAATAATATTATAGGATCAGCATTCATAAGGGTTCAAGATAAGCATCCCAAATATTTCCAAAGATAATCTTTTATCTAGAAGGAGAATAAACTGAGAAAATATCTTGTTATCATTGGATATATTTGATTATTTTTAAGGAATATAAAAAGCAGGCACTCTTTATATACTCTTCTATCAGGCAACACAAAAAATACACCATCATACCATACAGTAATTGAATATTTTATTGATTGGATAAAAAGATACAATGGTTTGATTTCTTTCAAGAACTTATCCAAGTACTTAGTGTTAGAAAACCAACAAAATCAAATTGGTATTATTCAATATCATGACAAGTGCATTGATTTCAATCATTTAACTCACATGATGTTTTCAGTATTTCAACTATGTAATGAGCTAAATTCATTCAGTCATTCAACTATGTAATGAGCTACACTGATTCAGTCATTCAAATATGCAATGAACTAAATTGATTCAGTCATTCAACTATGTAATGAGCTACACTGATTCAGTCATTCAGTGGGAAGCATGGTCGAGAGGCTAAGTGCGTCTACCTTGGCTACCTAGAAGGGGGCTCGAGGTTCGACACCCGACTCGGGCAGAGTTGGGTTTACTGAGCGCCTATAGGCAGCACGGAAAACCAACTTCTAGATAACCCCCCCCCCCCCCCCCCAACCGGTCCACAAATGAGATTGGACCAAAGCGCTCTGAGCATGCTATAAGCATGAAAGTAGCCCTATATAAAAGCTATAATAATATAATAATAATAATTCAAATATGCAATGAACTAAATTGATTCAGTCATTCAACAATGTAATGAACTACACTGATTCAGTCATTCAACTATGCAATGAGCTACACTGATTCGGTCATTCAACTCACAAACAGGGTGAGGTGATTCAAAAAAAAAAAGGTTAGTATTTTAGTCTAACAGCTATTTATTTGCATGCCTTGGACAATATTTTATTAATACATCATAAGACTAAACTACTGACATTATAGCATGCTTTTAGTCAAGTATCTACAAAGTTAAACATTGGATAACAAACTTCAAACATTTGCTGTAGAAACAGCTATAGGCAGTTGTCAATTACGACAATCTCAGAAAATAATTGTAACTTGGTTTGCCCAAAATGAGAAATACATTTTAAGTTTTAAAGTGAAAGGAAGCCAGTTACAAGAGCTTTCACTTTTACTAAGTTGTCTTTACCAAGAGATTAAATTTGAATCTACTACTACTACTGTATATTTTGAGGTTTTTAACCAAAAGGGCCATCAACAGTTTAAAACGTAAAACTCTACGTAAAAGTAGATAATGTTTTAATTACTACAAATAAACAATTTTAAAGAAAAGAAATCCCAATTACAATTTAAAGTTTACTGTCTGTTACCATGGTTACCCCAGTGACATACAAGCACAAAGTCTTTAGTCTCAGGCTCTGGCACAATAAAAAAAGTAGTAATTTTTATATCACAAATAAGAACAAAGCAAACTTTCAATGCACTTTACATTCTGAGAGTCTGAGAAAGAGATTTCAATCAGTAGCTTTTCTTTGGGACCAAATGAATGCTACACAAAATGTTTAAAATATCTTTTATGCCAGAAGTTGCTTTTGAAAGGCTTGACTAAAATCTGGCATTTATAATTTTAATGTACACAATCTTTTTATGAAAAGATTCCTCATAGTGATAAACAAAAAATAATTAGATTTTATAATTTTAAAAAAATCCTTTGAAGATTGGGCTTGATTCAAGAAGAACATCTGTAGAGCACAGGTAAGTAACTTGTATTTGGTTTAATTCGTCTCATAATGTCTATCTTCTATTCAAGTTAGTCATCAAAAGTAACTGGGAAGACTTGTCCCCTCAGAGCTAAAACCGACTCTTGTAGTGTGTAATCAATTAAAATATATAATAAAAAGGATTCAATATTTAAATTAATATGTATAAGATAAGGAATCGGTTTAAATGCAATGAGTGATTTCTTGACAATGTTGTAATAGAAGTGACTGGAACACAGAGTAAGTACCAACAAAAAGGCATGCCAACTAAAAGTTAATTTAAAAACATGGTAAAACATTTTAAGTTTCTTGTTCTGAGGGAATTCAAACCATCGTTTTATTTTAAGGCAGAGTGATTACCCTTGTCAGTTCTAGCTCATAAGACGTCTGATGGGTCAGTGGGGCTTCAAACTACTGGCACATGACGTACATTGACCCGATCTAACAGCGCTGACAAAATAATGGGAAAATTCCTGACAAAATAGCGCAGGGTTATATATGATGTGTATAAAAGTACCAGATTATTAGTAATTTAATGTCCTGGGCAGCATTTTTGTTGATGTCTCTATCTTTTTCACATTAATAGATCTGAAATTATCCCATATTTGCAGAGAACGAGAGTACTTTACATTTTATATCATTCCCCTTTTTCAACGTTTAAAATGCATAATTTGCTAAAAATAGGATTTTGAAATGTGGTGACCCCGTTCAAGGGGTAGTTATATAATGATGTGTATCTTACAGTGTGTTATCATCATAGTGTATACAGTATATTTGTACATAATATTATCTCCACTTCAATGACTACTTGTTCTGACTGAATACCTACGCCAAAACCTATCACTCTATAGAGAACCTTTGAAGAATGTCATGGAAACATTTTAGCTTATCATAAGTTTTGCTTACTGTTTGCATATTTATATTTTAAGATATCTAAAGTGTTTCCTGCGAAATGACTGAAAAATAATGATACATTAAAACAAAAAATTTCGGCTCTATTCATATTTTACGATATCTAAAGTATTTCTTTCAAAATGACTAAAATAAATTTTTTCGGCGCTATTTTGTCGGGGTACCATGACACATATTTATTTGAGCTGCGAGTTTACCACAAGAGTAGATAAAATATGTGCTTTAGTAGCTCCCACGTCTAGTGAGCTCAACAACAGTGAAAGTCACCTAAAGCATGCAGAAAGTAACAAATCCCCTACTGTTACTAAAACAACACCAAGTTGTAGTAATTACTGTATCAGTTGAATGAAAGTACTGAAGTGACATAAATACACACGAATCACACATGAATAAAATCACTAATAAACAACATTGTTCATCAACAAAATCAAAACAATAAAAAATAGACATTTACAGTAGTTACCAGGGGAAAAAAAAAGACAACTGGCTAGAAAGCTTGCCCCATTGTCATTTAAAAAAACAAACAATTAAAACAAGAAAATAAAAGTCAATAAAAATGACATTCTATTACAGACTATATCAAAATACATTCAAATATTGTTCTTAGTCCTATATATGCAACATAATGAAACAACATTTGTATAAAGTCCAGACTTAGCAAATAGTACATTGAAATCAACTTGCATTTTCATTTTTCTGAATTTCTTCTCAAATATACATGCAGAGAATTCAAACATCATTTTACACCATACCTCGATTCCTAATGTCATTCTAAAAAAAAAAAAATTGGAACTGTAAATGTTTTAAAGTTGTTTCTATTGGTTCAGTCATGACACTAGTCCAGCTCTTGACATTAGTTGTTTTCAGTCGATGTCATTCTGATCAAAACATACAACCTAATAGTTACAGAAACCCAAAGGCAAGTGAAGTCTGTCTTAGAATGGCCAGAACAATGACCAAAGATTTTTTTGACTTAACCCCAAAATAGAAGGTCACTTGTTAAACATATTAACTAACATGTGACAGCTACCCCACCCCCTCCATCACCCCTTCTGGTACCAGCATCACATCCTAGGAAGCTCTGTTTAAAATTTGTCAGAATACATAGATCTACTTATAAAGCCATCTTTCTAACATTTAAATAAAATGATAGATAAGAAGAGTATCCACTAAGTTAAAACTTTAATATGAAGAAAGAGGAAGAAAAAAAAGGAATTTGTAGTTACAACAGATCATGGAAGAGGTACGTGCTAAATATCAAAATCTTTACTTCAAACTCTAGAGAGAAACAAACTGATTTATAGTTCAAATGTTCTCTATCAGTGAAGAGAAACTAAGATAAAAGAGTTTTGTTTATTTAAGGTAAAAACTGATCATACTGTGACCATAACATATTTTTTTTTTCTATTCCATAAAAAAATTCAAGCGAACTGTAAAAATAGGCCATTTCGGATTTAAACCACTACCTTTCAGATTTAAACCATTACATTTCAAATTTAAACCACTACATTTCAGATTTAAACCATTACATTTCAGATTTAAACCACTACATTTCAGAAAACTATTCCTGTTTGTCCTCAGTGTTACATTTTCTTTGACTGGCATGACATGATAATGAAACATTTTGTTGGTTTCTTTTGCTACATAGAAATCTTCTAAGAATACATTGGATCAGGTCCTCAACAACAGAGAAATCAACGTCTAGTAATGAGTATTAGTTTCAAAACCTGTCTAGAGTTTGGTTGAGACACTCTCTTTGAAACAACAAATTGAGTTTACTTGAAGATACACAAAAAAACAACAACATATAACTGATGACGACTTCTCTCAATACCCATTTATTTCTGTCTCCTCCATTTAATTTAAAACACACAACATGTCCATCGATTGAAATAAATCGACAGAAATATATTTATTTATTTCATTTATGTATTTCTCTATTCACAAGTATACCCCTACTGCAATAAATCTTTAGAAATTTCAACCTCTGAACTTTTCCATCAAGTAAAAAAAAAACAACACAAACTGAAATAGGATTTAAAACAGCGGTTCTCAACCTTTTAAGCTCTGCGACCCTTTTTACCATCCCTCACTTTGCCTCGACCCCCCCCCCCCCAACACACACACAGCAATAGAATAATAGACAAAACAATCCATATTTTCAATGGTCTTAGGCGACCCCTGGCAAATCGTCAATCGACCCCCAAAGGGGTCGCCACCCACAGGTTGAGAACCCCTGATTTGAAACAAAGTAACAACTGAAACCAAAAAATCATATTTCACTACTGCAAGGAGTCCTGCACAATTAAGTTAATCTGTTTACAGAACAGCTCATGATTTCTACAGAAGCTGGTGCTCAAAATGTTCTTGTTATTTATTCAACTCTTTACTGACTTTAAAGAAATATTTGAGTCAAGTGTGATTGTTCCCCCTGAAGTGTGTTCAAAATAAAGAGAGTTAACCAAATTTACTTTTCAGATGATTCTTTTAAAAACTATAACCATCAAACCAGA